TGGGCATGGACCGCACGTTGTATTTCTGCCTCAGCTCCTTGGACAGAGGAGAAGACATAATCTTCCTTCGAACGTGAGAGGGTGCATTGAAGTGCCTTTTACGATTTTTGCTCCGGTCAGAAGTCACAAAAGGATTGAACTTCATTTTGGCCGCTGCCGCTTCAGCGATGGCCACAGGAGACGAAAGAGCTAATTGCATATTCTTAAGTTAGACCCAAGTGACTAGCTGATATGCATACAATACAAAATAGCTTGCTTGTAGCAGGAAAATTGCTCAGTCTATCTTCCTTTATAACTCAGCCTCAATAGTCTTGATTTATTACTTTTTTTTTTGTTTGTTTCCCCTTATGTTTCTCCTTGGAGGTTAAGATTTTGAAGCTCCATCTCACAACTTTGGGCATGTAGCCAGAGGGGAGGGATTTTTGGAGAAGGATCTCATGCTTGAATGGGTGGAGGGACAGCGCAGGACAGGAAGACTCCAAATGTGATGAACTGATACAGTAACTAGGGCAGTGGGGGTAGGTGTATCGGAGTCAGTGAGATTAGCTTGAGACAGAACAGGAGTCAATGCTATTTTACATAGGGTTGCTATGAATTGTGACTTGATAGCACATAATAACAACAACATGTTCTTTTAGTATGTGAAAAGTGATGTTTCACAATAACCCATTTATGTTCTCTAGAAGCTGATGATGGTGAACATCTTTTCATATGTTAATTTGTCATATATGTATCCTCTTCCTTGAGAAGTCTCTTCTTATCCTTCCTTGATTTTTCAATTTAATTGTTTCTTACTGTTAAAAATACATAACAAAACATTTGCCATTTCAATATTTTTTCACATGTTCAACTAAATGTTATGTTCATTATCTTGTATAAACTTCTTATATCTGTTCCCAAAACTTTCCATCATGGTTAACAGAAACTCACTGTCTCCTATCTCCTGGTAAACACTAATAAGTTTTGGTCTCTGGATTTACCTCTGGTGATCTAGTGGTAAGAAGCTGGGCTGTAATCCCAAAGGCACATATTTCAAATCTACCAGCTGCTCCACAGGAGAAGGATGGGCAATCTCCTTTTGTGTGATTTACTGCCCTCTGAAAACCCGCTAGAGGGTCAGCTATGAGTCATTTCTGACTCCATGACACACAATGTGCATCTGCCTGCTGAAACACCTCAGTTGACATTCATGAATTCCTGAGGCTTTTAAAAAAATGTCTTCAATGCAGTTTGTACTTCTTCCTTTAGTATCCTTGGTTCTTAATCATATATGCTGCAGAAATAGTTCAGTGCTAACCAATTCTATTTGATAAAGTGACTGTATATTGCTTCCATCTTATATTGAGGCTTCTTGGATCATTCAAGAGTTTGCCCATAGCATTCTTCATTATTGCAACTGGAGGCTTAATTTTGTTTTTCAGCTCTTTCAGGTCGAGAAATATCAGGTATGTTTTTCCTTTTGGTTTTCTAACTCTTGTTCTTTGCACATTTTGTTATACTTTGTTTTGTCTTTTCTAGTAGCCCTTTGAAATATTTTTATCTCTCTTATTTCAGCATTTATTCTAAACTTTGTTTTGGCTTTGCTACATTCTATATCAAGCTTCAGAATAACTTCTTTTTTTAAAAAAGTTTTAAAATGTATTTTATACTTTTATATTTACAAAGTTCTACTAGATTGTTTTTCACAATGGATATTTCCCATTTCCTTTTTACCATCCCCCCTTCAGCCATCAAATTGTGTGACTCTGTTATTAACATTCCCTACCCCAACACTGTTGGCACCAGTAGCCAGAAGTCAAGAGACAAAGTGCATTGGGAAAGTCAGCTGTCAGGGAACTCTCCAGAGTACTGAAGAGCAACGACATGAGACTGTAGACTAAGGTGCAACTGATCTAGGCTATAGTCTTCACAACATTGGAGAGCTGGACAGTGACTAGGGATGATAGAAAGAGAGTTGATGCCTTGGAGCTGTGGTGCTGGAGAAGAGGGCTGACTATGACTGCTAGGAGAACAAATAGGTTTGTCCTGGAAAGGGTGAAACTGGGCTGCTCCTTGGAGACAAGAATTCTGAAACTTTGACATTCTTTGTGCATGTTGCAAGGAGGGACTATTCCTTGGAGAGGGATGTCATATTTGGGAGAGTGGAGAGACAGCGCAAGAGAGGAAGACCCTCAATAAGATGGATCAATTCAGTGACTGGAGTAATGGGAGTAGGTATGTCAGGGACAGTGAAGTTGGCACAGGATAGGACAGGGTTTAGGGCTCTTGTACATAGGGTCGCTATGAGTCACAAGTGGCTCAACGGCACATAACAACAACAACAACCCCATCTTCACCCCTCTACTTCTACCATCCCCCCACCTTGGATCCTCATACTCATTTTATAATAATGATTTTATACAATATTCGTCACTATAGGATTGAATTAGGTCACTCAGGATAATGCTCTTCAGTCCCTCTAAAGTTAGGTGGTAATTTACAGAATCATTGCTCCTGTGTGCTATATAGTATCCCATTGTGTGAATGTACCATACTTTCTCAATCCATTTAATTGTGGTTGGACATTTGGATCAGAGTTACTCTGACCTTTGGTTTGGTCTTTTTATTTCTTCAACTTGAATTTGAATTTGTATATGAGTAATTGATGGTTTATTCCATAGTCAGTCCCTAGCCTTGTTTTGAGTACTTATCATGAGTTTCTCCACTATCTCTTTCCATAGACATAGTGATTCTGAATCCTGTGTAATCCATCAGATTAAGGGCCTGTGTTTAGTTGTCACTTATGTTTTTTAAGTAAAGTATTTGCAAAGAATAAATAACTGGTTGTATAAAATTCTATTATGTGATCTCTAGTCTCATGTCTGTCACCAAGATCAAATTATCTATGATTTGTTGATGTGATTACATCCAAAATTTACAAAATTACTAGGTGGAAAGTGATGTTTCATTATGGTTTCAACTGGAATTTCCCTAATTAACAATTATGCCAAGCATTTTTTTAATGCACTTGTTGGCCTTTTGTTATTTTCTCTGGTAGAAAGTCTATTCAAGCTATTTGTCCATTTTTTGTTTGTCTCTTTGCTGTTAAAGTGAAGAAATTTTCTATGTATCCTGTACATTAAACCTTTTATAATGTAAAGTCTCTGAAATTTTCTCCCATTCTGGTATCCCTTCACTTTGTTGGTAAATTTCTTTGAGGCAAAACTCTTAAATTTAATAGTCTACTTAATGTATTTTTCGTTTGTTTTGCATGTCAGAGCTAAGAGTTTTTGTTCAAAATTAGATAGAGCTAAGAATTTTTTGTTCAAAACTAGATAATGAAACATTACCTTGTGTTTTACCCTAAGAAGTCTGTGGTTTTGGTTCTTACACTCATGTTGATGATGCAATTTGAGTTCATTTTCTAATCTGGTATAAGGCATGGGATCCCCCGCCCAGACACACACACGTGAAAATCTGTTTGTCCTAGCATCTTTATAAAAAACACTGAATATCCCTCTCCCGCACTTAAATAATTACTTTTTAGATTTTTTTTTTAATTTATGCTGGTTTATTTACAAAGTTTGAATACATTGTTTTTCACACCAGATCTTTCCCATGTCCTTCACTCCTCCCCATCAAATGATGATTAATCTCCCCTACCTATTCTTACCCTTCTACTTCTCCCCTCTCCCCCTTGGATACTCATACTCATTCTACAATAATGGTCTTATACAGTATTTGTCCTTATGGGACTAAGTTAGTTCACTCAGCATAATGCTCTCAGTTTCTCCGAAGTAAGGTAGTGATTTACAAAATCATTTCTCCTCTGTGCTGCATAGTAATCCGTTTTATGAATGTAGCATAATTTCTCAATCCATTCTATTGTATTTGGACATTTAGGACTGTTTTCATGTTCTTGCAATAGTAAATGATGCTACTATAACATTGATGTATAAGTCTCCGTTTGTTCCTCAGTTCTCATTCTCTCAGGGTATATTCCAAGCAGTGCAATAGCCAAATCATATGGAATTTCTAGCCTCAGCTTTCTGAGGAAACACCAAACTTCCTTCCAAAGTGGTTGTATCCTTCTACAATACCACAAACAGTGTATAAGATTTCCTATCTCACCACATTCTCTCCAACATTTATTGCTTGCTTTCCTGTTAAACTTTGCCATTGCTACTGGAGCGAGATGGTATCTCATTGTGGTTTTGATTTGCATCTTTCTTGACAACTGACAGTGATTTGGAGCATTTCTTCATATGTTATCCATTTGAATATTTCTTCATATGTAGACCATTTAAATATCTTCCTTTATGAAAATTCTTTTCATGTTTTTTGCCCATTTTGTAATTGGGTTATCAGACTTTTTCTTGCAGAGGCCCAGGACTATTATACAAACTTTCATTATGAGACTCTTGTCCGAGATGGTATTGCCAAATGCGTGTTCCCAGTTAGTAGGTTTTCTTTTCACCCTCTTGGAGAAAGGTTTTGATGAACACAGATTTTAATCTTTAGAAGGTTCCATTCATCCAATGTATTGTCTTCAGATTGTACCTTTCTGGCTGTATTAGGCAGTCTCTTTATGCTGTAGACTAGGGCTTCTAAGCTTGATCCAATTTTCTCTTAGGAATTTTATGGTTTTGGGCTTTACTCCCAAGTCTCTGATCCACCTTGAGTGGATTTTTGTGTATGGTGTGAGATGTGGATCCTGTTTCAGCTTTCTTTCTTTTTTTTTTTTTCTGTTTCAGCTTTCTAAAGGTAGCAGTCCAGTTTTGCCAACAAGATTTGTTGAAGAGGTTTGTCATTTCCCCATTTGTTTGGTTTTATATTCTTGTCAAATATCAGGTGACCATAGATAGCTGGGTCTACTCTGGGTTCTCAATTCTGTTCCACTGATCTATGTACCTACTACTGCTGTGTAGGTTTTGAGGTCAGAGAGTGCTATGCCTCCCACTTAATTTTTGTTTCTCAGAAGTGTTTTGCTTATTTGGGGTCTCTTGCCTCTCAAAATAAACTTGTTAATTTCCCTATCAATTTCCTTGAAAAATCAGATTAGTATCTGTGTTGGGATTGCATTGAATATGTAAATTGGTTTGGGTGGGATTGTCATTTTCACAATATTGAGTCTTCCTATCCATGAACAGGGCACATTTTTTCATTTCTTTTGATCTTTTATTGTGTCTTACAGAAATGTTCTGTTGTTTTCTTTGTATAGGTCTTTTGTATCCCTAGTTAGGTTCACTCTCAAGTATCTCAATTTGTGGTTGGCTATTGTAAATAGTATTGCTTTCTTGGTTTCTTTCTCTGAGTTCACTTTGTTACTGTAGAGGAATACCATTGATTGGTCTTATATCCTGCCACTCTACTAAATTGTCCTACTAGCTCAAACAGGGGGTTTTTTTTTAGTCTTTAGGGTTTTCTATGTACACTATCATATCATCTGCATATAGTGATATTTTAACCATCTCTGTACTGACCTGGATGTCTTTTATTTCCTTTTCTTATCATATTGATCTAGCATGCACTTCCAGTACAATATTGAATAGAAGTGTTGATATTGGACATCTTTGTCTCATCCCTGTTTGCAAGGAAAATGTTTTTAATCTTTCTCCATTAAGAATGATATTGATGCTTGGTTTTGCATCTATATTTTTCACTATGTTGAGGAAATTTCCTTCTATTCCAATTTTACTGAGTGTCTTAATCAGGAAAGGTGTTGGATTTTGTAAAATGCTTCTTCTGCATCAATTGCTAAGATCATATGGTTCTTAATATTTATTTGGTTAATATGGTAAATTACACTGTTTTTCTTATGTTGAACCATCCTTGCATAGCTGTTATGAACCCAACTTGGTCATGATGAATTTTTTTTTATGTTCTTTAAAATGCTATTGGCTAGGATTTTGTTAAGAATTGTTACATCTATATTCATGAGAGATATTGGTCTATAGTTTTCTTTCTTGGTAATATCTTTGCCTGATTTTGGCATTAGGGTTATCATACAATGACTCTGGGAGTGTTCGTTCTTTTTCAGTTTTTTTGAAATAGTTTAAGCAGAAATGGTGATAGATCCTCTTTGAATGTTTGGTAGAATTCAGCTGTGAAGTCATCTGGTCCAGGACTTTTCTTATGGGGAAGTCTTTTTATGACCTTTTCAATTTCTTCTTTTGTGATGGGTCTGTTCAAGTGTTCAATACTATTCCCCATTCCTTGTCTATATGGGTAGGGAATGAGTTTCAAGGTATTTGTCCATTTCCTCTAAGTTTTGGGCACTTTGGGCATGTTGCAAGGAGGGATTAGTCCTTGGAGAGAAAAATCATGCTTGTGAGGGTGGAGGAACAGCACAAGAGAGAAAAGCTCTGGATGAAATGGACTGCCTCGTACCAGGGGTAATGCTAGTGAATGTGTCAGGGATGATGGGTTTGGCATAATAGCAAGATCACTATGAGTCATAAGTGACTCTACAGCACATAACAACAACAAAAATAAGTAATCAGGTATAAGTTACTAAATATTGAATAAACAAATGCTAGTAAAGGACTTCAGTAGTGTCCTAAGTTTATGTATGTATAAGAGAGAGAATGAGAAAGAGCAAGCAAGAGAAAGCTGGAGGCTTGATGAATCTCTAGCTCACAATGGATATGGCTATAACTTTTTCTTTTATCCTTTCACAGTTTCCTCCCCAGGAATAGGCTCACCTCCTCTCATTTCTATTATGGGATATGCTGGTGGAGAAATACAGCTGCTCTGTCAATCCTCAGGCTGGTTCCCAGAACCCACAGTTAAGTGGAAAGGTCCACAAGGACAAGATTTCCCTTCAGACTCCAAAGTGAATACCAACAAGCAGGGTATGTTTGATGTGGAGACTTCACTTATAGTGCAACAAAATGCTGAGAGCATATCGTGTTCCGTTCAACACAGTGACCAGAATCAAAAGGTAGAATCCAGCATATATATATCAGGTGAGTGGGTAAAGAAGGGATGGATATTTTAATAACTTGAAGAGAGAACATAAGCCTTTATCTCAGGATTGTTGCTTAGAATTTATCATATTTGATTATTAATTAAGAAATTAAAAGTTGATGGTTTACAACAAGAAAATACTAAAAAATGTAAATAGGTGGTAATCAAACTGCTTACATACATCATATCATATAAAAACTAACTTAAAATTGCTCAAAGACATCTGCATAAAATCTAAAACTATAGAAAAACTGAGGGAAAACTTAACTTTAAAAAAGAAAGCACAACCAACAACAAAAACCTATACAAATCACCAAAGAAATATTGGGGCACACTTAGGTGTCTAGTAACATCTGGCATGAATAAACTATCAAATATAACTGAAAATATACAATCAACAGATAATAAACTTAGATAACTGAGATTTCATAAAAATTAAATACATCAAAAGACTTTTCTAAAAGAGTGAAAAGAAAACATACAGAATGAGAAAAAAATATATGAAATGGAAAGACACATCTGACAAGGGTCTCATTTCTAAAATTTGTATAAACCTCTAACACCTCAAGAAGAAAATGACAAATAATTCATTTTAAAAATGGTCAGAGGACATTAATAGACACTTCACCAAAGAATGTGTTCAAATGCTCAATAAATACATAAAGAAATGCTTAAAAATAATTAGCTGTTGTTATTGTTGTTGTTAGATGCTGTTGAGTGACTCATAGCAACCCTATGAATAGCTGGCCTGAACTCTGCCCTATCCTGTGCCATCCTCATCATTTCTGAGACACTTGAGCCCATTGCTGAAGTCACCATGCCCATCCATCTCATTGGGAGTCTTCCTCTTCTTCATGACCCTCCATCATTCCAAGCACAATGTTCCTCTCCATGGAACAGCCTCACCTAGCTACATGTCCAAAGTATGAAAGATGAAGCTTTGCCATCTTTGCCTCAAAGGAGTATTCTGGCTTGCACTTTCCCCAAGACATGTCTTTTTGTTCTTTTGTCAGTCTATAGGATATCCAGTACTCTTCTTCAACACCACAACTTGCCATCAATTCTTCTTCTGCCATCTTTAGCTAATGCAGAGATGCAAATCAAAATAACAAATGAGATAACATTTTACTCCAATTAAAAAAATGATAATGACAAGACATTAAACAACAAATTCTGGCTGGGGTGTAGAGATATTGGAACTCTCATACACCACTGGTGGGTATGTAAAATGATGCAACCACCATGGAAAGCAGTTTAACTCTTCCTTGCTGTTGTTATTAGGTGCTGTAGAGTTGAGCACAACTCATAGCTACCCTATGAGCAACAGATCTGAACCTCGCTCTGTCCTGTGCCATCCTCAGCATTTCTGCTATAGTTGAGCCCATTGTTACTGCAAATGAGTCAAACCACCTCATTGAAGGTCTTTCTTTCCGTCTCTGTCTGACATTCCCCTAAGTATGATGCTATTTTCCAAGAAGTGACCACTCCTAGCATTGTGTCCTGAGTTAGAGAGGAAGTTTCATTATCTTTGCCTCCAAACAGCACTAGTTAAACTTTATCTAAAACATACTTCTTTGTTCTTTTGACAGACGATAGGATATTATGTAGTCTTCTCTCACACCACCACTCAAAGAATGTATTATTCTGTCATTTTTATCCATTGTCCAATTTTCAGATGCATAGTAAGTAATTGAAAATATCATGGCTTGAATCAAGTACATCTTAGTCTTTAAATGGATATCATTGCCCCTTAGTGCCTAGTACATGTCCTTGACAGCAAATTATCTCAATAATAAATGATTTTGTGACTGCTAGTAAAAAGGGGAAGCTCTCCTTGCCAGAAGGCAGGAGTGTGGTGGGAGTGCAGGAATCCTGGCAAGCTTTTGGAGTCGAATGCTTTTACGGGAATGTGTTTGACATGCAGGTTTGCTCTGTCCCTGGAGTGAGGCTAGCCAGCCTGGGCCTAGGGTTTGAACCAGGAGGCGACCTTAAGCCCAAAGGGCCCTTGGGCCAGGTTCAAATTGTCTTCCTGTCAAACATTCTTCTAGGTGGTATAGCACTAGTCTGTGCGTTGCTGTACAGAGGTAACTCATGGTTGCTGTGATGCTGAAGCCTGTGACAGTGATGTGCCAATTGTGGTAATGGGCACCCATGGTGGACAGTGTTGGGTGGAGCTTCCCGACTAAATCA